CTTTTTCTTTTTCTTTTTCTTTTTCTTTTTCTTTTTCTTTTCCTTTTTTTTTTTGGTTTATCATTTAAAATTTCATTAGGAAACAAAACGAAGGATAATAAAAATTTCAGGAAGGATATTAACATGTGTGAATGATGGAACAATTTCAAGATTAGTACATTTGAAGTCATGAACTTAGCATTGCTACTTCAAGATAGGGGCAGATTAGAGTTAAATGGTGGTCCCATTGGTTGCCTCCACTTTCCACCAAAAGCCTTTTTGAACTGACTTTTCATCATGAAGCAGTATTATTTCTGAGTTTCCTAAAGGAAAGGAGATGGGTGTTTACATGGTGGTGTTGCATGTATGTTGCAGGTACATCTTGGTAGTTCTCCTGACTTAAATGGGCCATATCTTATTCTGAGGCTCTCCCAACAACCAGGAACACACAAAGTGAGTGCTGTGGGAGGGGCTGCTGCTGCTGCTGCTGCTGCTGCTGCTGCTGCTGCTGCTGCTTTTTCTTCTTCTTTTTTTTTTCCAAAGGACAGACATTCCTTTAAGCTTCCCATTCACCTCCAGCATACCAAGAGTGTACAATTGTTTTGTTGCTCTCTCACATATGCATTGTTCTGGACTACATCCTGTAGTGGTATGCCAAGAGATAATGGTGAGGAAAACCTGCTTAAAATATGTAAAGAATTTAGAAATAAATGCTGGGGAAAAACTGGAGATAAAGACTTAACACTGTTCTCCTTTTTGGGAAAGATTTGCCTTTCTTTTCACTTATATTGTTTCATTAATCCATCTCTTTTTTCAGTCTAAGGGATGATCTAGCTTGTTAGGGATTGGTCTGTACTAAAACATTTCTGAAAACACAAAAAGAATAAAATGTTAGCACTAAATCAGTGTAAGCAATGTTGAAGCTTGCTAAACTAAAAAACAAAACACTGAAGTCTATAACAGCATTCTGGATGGATAGAGAAACAGACAGATTTTATTATAGTATAGAGCAGCACGTAGGGCATTCTGAAATTCTAGTGCCCCTGTTAAAAATATGTCTCTTATATTCATTTCCTTTAATTTTCTGAGACAGTAGAACACAACAGAGCCTGTGGACTTCATCCTAGGCTGTTAAAAAGGGGAGAATGAGATGGGGTATTTTATAGCTTCTCACATATTTTGCTAATGTAGCATCAACTGCCCTAATGCAATTAGGATTCCTACTTACACATCATCAAAACAAAATGACAAAAAAAGATGCATGTGTAAGTTTATATAGCCGAACGCTGAAAAATTATTAATATATTTTTCATATTTTAGGTTTATTAAACTCAGAAGAGAAAAATAAAAGTTAAATATCAATGCAACAAAAATTACAAAGATAAGGTTGTAATATAGTTACTATAAGCAAACACCATTGCGAGGCCCGCTCTGTAGCTGTTCAGTTTTGCTAGCTATAAGCTTTGTGTTGATGGGCAATTTTTGGATTATGCTTGCTTTTCTACAGTTCTTTCTTTTAAAATCAATTGGGGGCTAGATACCCTTTCAGACACAGCAGGGGTAGCAAACCTGTGGTCCTGCAAAAACAGTTAAACTGAAACTAAACATCTGGCTGACTGCAATCAACCATAATATGATAGTAGATGATAGGATAAGGGTGTGAAAAGACCAAACCCTGGATACATTCAGGCAAATGCCAAAGCTGCAACTGTCTTTGTGGCAGATCAGAATTTGATCATTTATGAGGTAGTGGTTTTTGGACAACCAATGGCAGTCATGCTTAAAAAAAGAAGAGCTTCTATCGCTCACTGTTTATATCCTAATGTTATTTCTCACACATTTATTCTGCTACTTCCCTTAATTTGATTCCATGCTGAGTCCCGGTGGGATGCCTTTCAAACATTGTACCAGTGATCTCAGAACTGAACTTGCAAGGGTTTCTTTTACAAATGGTTCCTAACAGATGTGTGGCACACTTTATTAACTTAAGTACCCATTAGTTGAAAATTTCATTAGTTTGGGGGAAAGGGGATCAGTTTCATCAATAGACCTGGTATGGTTGGACTCTTTGTGTCAACCTGACCCATATCAAAATGGATTATTGTTGTAAGTGAGACAAGTGACCCAATGTTCTGCCTATTATGCACACATGATCCTTTTAAAATGCTAGTGTGGGAAAACCGCATACTTCAGTGAATCTCTAAAACATAGATTCTTAACAGGTGGCAGTCCTTCACTTAGCAACGTTTATTTGAGGCTATATGTGTGTGTATGTATGAATTATTTGGGGTACAGTTTCCAACCAAGTACCGTAACCAAGGGGAAATCAGAGCAGAGAATGAAACAGAACAATACTTTGTGTAACACACATTTTAATGAAGTCAGGTGGCCTGAGTGGAACTTTGTGTATACTGTAGTGCCACCGTTTGATCAGCTAGAAGCATTTCACTTTAGAGCTTTCATTCAGGAAGATCTCTTCATGCGAGACTACATTGATAAAAGTAATTATACCACGTAGAACATAAGTATGCTGTATCATGGGTAGAGCCAGTGATTTAAAGTTTTTTTTTAAAAAAACTAAGCTTGGCTTAGTGCATTACAATGTACTGTTAGTAAATTTCAGATAGAAATTTATCATGTTCACATGATAAAATAATAAAAAATAGGATACAAGATAAAAGATAGGCCACAGGTTCCACATCCCTGCTTTAGATCTTTTTGGATCATGCATGCTTAGGCAGATTGAATATATTAATTAATTAAATCCCTTCCTCAATCAATTTAATTTATTTTTCTGAGATGCCTTGGAAAGATGCAATTCAGAAAAGAATGCAGCAGCCATTTGGTGGTTTTTATAATACTTTTTATCATTATTTTGTTCTTTGGAATAGCATTAGGAAATCTTTGTTTCCTGGTTTTTTGCAGATCATTATCTATGAATGAAATCATATATTTAAACAATGATCCAATGACAACATTTAAGCACAGACTGCTTTAAACCCAGGTTAGTGTAGTTACTTGGCCTGCAACAAGTCTAGCATTAGCATCCAGAACCTCTTGGGAAGCTGGAGAAAGGAACTTCTAGCATTGCTACAGCCAGCTAGTATCTCCTTGGAAGCGAGACAAGGAATCAGCTGTGCTTCAAGAATGGTGAGAAGAACCTATAACCCAGTTTCCCCAAATGGGGCTTTTGTGATCCCTTTGAGTTCAGCAAAAATGGTACTACAGAGAAGGTCCAGTTTGCATCCTCCCTATAATGATGACAGTTATTTTGATATTACATTTATATATTGTTTTTCTCCAAAGCTGAATGTGTTGCATGATTCTCTTTTACCAATTTAACTTCAGGGCATCCCTGTGGATTCAGCTGACTGGCCCAACCTAATTCAGAAATCATTATGGCCAAGTAGAAGCTTAAACTTGGGTCTCCGAAGTCTTAGTCCAGCACTGTATTCACCACATCACTGCTGCTCAGTGTACATTTATTTGAAAAGGGAGGAGTTATATTTATTTGAAGTTATTGAGAACATGGGGCACAATGGAAGCAATAGAAACAAAGCCCTTCAGTGAGGTAAATTGCATCTTCACTACATCTCAACAAGCCAGATAGTGTTGCATCCGCTGTACAAAGTACCTTATTGACATGAAGCATAGTGGACGTGCACAGGTCTATTGCTTTCATTGTAGATATGAAGACCAAGTGAAAATGACTGGTGCACCTTCTGCATTACTCCAAGCTCACAGGATTCTTTTGTTCTATCTTACTTTTATATATGAGTTAGAGACTGCTGCTGGAAGAATTCCTCATGTTACCCAAAAAAGAATTTGGCAGAAATTCTTCATATGTAGCAGTTCTTGAAATGATTTCTCTTACACTGTCAACATGTTAGTTTCTAATAATAATTACACAATTTTCTGAAAGATGGTTTATGACAGAAGACCTTGAATGAATTTCAAAATAGCTTTCTAAGTAGCCTCTATATCCAAATATTGGCCCCCACTTCAAAGTGGAATATAAAAAATATTTACTCCCATCTCCATATTATATTTTATATAATATGATTTTACTGTTAGACAAACAAGGAAGAATGTGTCTTCTGAAAATGTGGGTTGAAGTATAATCTTTAATTTCTTCTCTTCCCACATAGATGACAGAAGAACAGCTTCATTTTTAACAGATTCTTCACTGGTAGTCATGTACAAACCAGTACTTACGGTTTAAAAGAAAGAGCCAGGTTTCCAAACTTTCTGTCCTTGAATATTATTGCAAACTAGTATTTCCTTAAAACCACAACCCCAGGTTTATTCATAATGACAAATAGAAATCCACAAAAGTGAAACTAAATTCTGATTTATTCTTCCTGGCTGTATGCATGGAGAAGAATGGAGAGCTTTTTAATATTTCTACTCATGTATTACAACATCAAATTATTGTTTGATGTTAAAGATGAATCCAACCAAACAGAACTCTTAATTAAGGAAGAAGGATCTAGAAACAAGCAGAATGAACAGCTTAGCTAAAAGACACACACACACACACAACATTTTTACTGAAATTGCAAAAATGTTTTTATTCTGACAGTAGAAAGAAGAGATAGGAGAAAGAAACCTATTAGTTAGAACTCTAATGCGTATATAATGTTCTAACAAAATATGAAACAAAATAAATAATTAAGCCCAGATATTTTGCTATCAGAAATGGTAAATTTCAATCTGTGGGGAAAAGATTGTAAGGCCTTCTGCAGGGATGTCCTGCATCTTTAAATACTGAGCAACAGCATGAAACACTGTATCTACTGCATTTTCCCCAAGATGTAGCACTAATGCAATAAAGACCAACAGGAGCCCGGGCTGCTGTAATGTGCAAACTTTAGAACAGAGAGATCATTTCAGATGTTGCCTGAAACAGTGGCTAAACTTGAAGTGGAGTAAGAATGAAAACATTCCACAAGTTGAACAGAAATATAAAAACTGGTGACAAATGTTCAGAAAATATTAATTTGGTTAATAAAACAAATTTATTTTCACAAGTCTAGTGCTGCACCTTGATAGGAGAAAGAACTGTTTAGGGCAGAAATGAAACAATAGCTGTTTTGCATGCAAAATTATTCATTTGACTAATTTTTTATTTTCTTATGTAGAAGACATAGAGTCTATCTCCATATTTGTCTCCAGTCTCCTTTTTTCCTACTTTATGTACATTTGTTCTGTTCTCAATTCAAAATTATTTATAATATACATTCTTTAGTTTAGCCTGACCTCTATCTTATTCCACAGAGTTATGATTATTTATTAATATCAGTTACAAAATATTTGAACAACAAAAGGGCCTGATGGCCTCTGAAGCCAGTGGAAAACCTTCCATTAACAAACTGGATCTACAAGAAAACTTGTAATAAAAGAATGAAATGAAATAAATGAATTCATTTATTGACTTTGCAGAGGAATAAGCTGACTCACCAATATTTAGTTTTCATATACAACAGCTTAAAATATTTTACTGATATTGCAGAAATTCAGATTGCTGCCTTTAAATATGGTGTGATAACAATTTATACCATCTTTTTTTCTGTGAGTACATCTGTACATTTTGCTTGATCTGTTCCACAGTCAGTTGCCCAGCATAAATCTACAGATACATGAAATTTTGCTGCTTCCCACCTTTTTTTGGAGTTTAGATCAGTGACTTGCCAAACTAATTTGTTTCTGTTGAAGATCTTCATCATTTAATTGAGGCATTTGATTAATGGGCTTAATTGCTGACAAATCAAATGGTTTTGGTATATCTATTCTGAGTTCTCCTTGGCGAACAGCTATGTAGGGCCTCAGAGCATCAGCTGTCACTTTCTCAAACCAATCAAGTAGCTTTTGGAGGTATTGGAAGAATGCAGTATAGTTCTCAATTGTCAAGTCAATCAATCTTTGTGTCTCACTGATGAACATTTCATAAGAATTGAAAAAGTGATTGTATGTCTCCTGCAGCTTTGCCTTGACCTGTTTGTTTTGTTCAGCAGCACTCTGTTTTGCAGCTTCAGACCAATACAGGATCTTTTCATGTGCAATTTTGGAGAGCTCAGTGAGTTTTTCTTGGTTCTCCAAAAATTCTTTTGCTTGATCTGTTAGGGTTATCATCAGGTCAGCAGCATCATTTATCCATCTGGTGTGCCATTCTAATATAGCATTAAAAAGATTTTTCAACCAATTTATTAACTTTTCTTCCAGTTCATAATATTTGAGAGACCACCCAGCTACGCTTGGATCAACATATTCCTTCCGCAGATCTTTTATGCTTTGTAAAACGTCTTCTAACTTTTCATAAATACTGGAGAAAGTATTCTGGATAATGTTTTCAATGCGAGGAGACAAATATTTTATATCACCTGCTAAGCTTTTCAGTGCTTGTAAGAACTTTAAGAAGAGTTGTTTTGTTTGGTCTTTCAGATACTCATAGTTTTGATCTTGTAAATTTCTGATAAGCTCTTCTGTCTTTTGGAAGACTTGCTGAATTCCTTCTTTTAGGTCTCTTAGATGTTGTGCAAAGTCAATCTCCTGGAGACCAACAAATATCTGACTAACTTTCTTTTGTACATGGGTTAAAAACTTTTTAATTTCTGCAAGTATATCACTACCTTTGATTATCTCAGAGGAAGCTGGAATTTTAATTTCTGCCTCACTGACAAAGGCAATCAAAGAATCAAAATATTCCTGCACTCTTGTAATGTACTGATCTACAGCTTTTGCTACTTTTTCAGTGACCATTACATAAAGTTCTTCACCAGTGTGCTTCCCAGGCAGCCCTGGTACCTGGAGTTTTGTTACCTTCAAAAATTCAATGGCAGAATCAATAAGATGTTTTACCTGTTTATGGTATTCTACTATTACTTCCATTATAGTATCAAAAAATTGGGCTCTGATTCGATCATATTCCATTTTGCTAGATTGATCTGCAGCTGTATGGTATAGCTTTTTGGACTCTTTTCTAATCTGTTCATATTTCCCTGTGACCTGGTTAGTTACTTCATGAAGCTGTTCTTCTAGTTCACTGATACTGTTTAAAGTGTTCATGTACGTTCTGTCAATATTATTTCTCAGAATATCCTTCAGTTTTGAGGTAGCAGAACTGATTTCCATGCCTGTATGTTCACGGTGGTATTTGTTAGCAGTGTAGTACAAAGCATCAGCCATTTCAGGCATCTTCTCTTTTAAAACTTTGAGTAACTCTATGACAGCATCCTCGTTCCAGTTGGTTTTGACTTGAATCAGTTCTGGATTTTTGAAAGATATCTCACTTTTTAAGATATCGACTTCATTCTGAAGGTTAGACTGTAAATGTAAAATACATTTTTATGAAGGGTTATTTTCTACTTTGTTATGGAACAAGACATTTACTCACTATTACATTAAATTAAATCAAATATATTTGCCCTGATTTTACAGTCTGTTGAAGGAATTTAAAATAAAAATGCAGTGTACATAAAAATATAAGTAATGTGTATACCCTGCACACATATATGTTGTATGTGTACCTAGCTACAAGTGTTTCCTTTTCAGAGCAATCATTCACCAATAACAATATGGTGATTCCTGATTTTATTAATTAATTTATACAGAATGATTAAAAATTGTAATGTACCATTTCATGAACATTATTCAAATGATTAGATTTCTATATTAAATCCTTGGCCCAAATTAGGCACTATGCTAATTAAACTTTGCATTTAATATATTTAAATGGAAGTAGCTAACAGAAGATATGATGGTACTGATCGTTAGCAGAATTGCAACAGAACAGAAGGGGGACCTTTTCTGCTAGGAATCTTCAGAATGGATAGATCAGGCCTGATCAGGCCATGTTGCTTTAACACGTGCTGGTATTTGTTTTGTCCCATTTCACATTAATGAGTGTTGGGCTTTTTTTTTTTTTTAAAAGATTTCTTAAATATCTCTACTGGAAATTACGGGTGCTAGTTCTGTTTCTATTTTTCATTCTTTTAAAGAAGTGATAATAACAAATTGAAGTAAATACAGTACATGTCTGCTGTAGATGTATTGAAAATGCCCCTAGGCACTGAATGGAAAAAAGGGGGGTTGGCTACTGTGCTCATGTAACAGGTCTGTTCAAATAGGCCTTGAACTACAGCATAATATCTTGCTTATATTTGTAACCTCCTTTCATTGAAATAGACCTCTAGTGGGGCTGAGTAGTACATTGCATAATAATTTGTAGGAAAAACTATGCTGATGGCTACACTTCGTATCACTTGATAGTCGGTATTGAGAATATTTACGTTTTCCTTGACTGGATCACTAATCAGGTATTCAAATGTTTAGTGTATACATGTGTTTGTATGTGTATTTATACAGATATACATGCACATGAACAAAATATTATGAAGTTGTTCTTACTCAGCAAGCCTTTTGAATGAATCAGTCTCTATATGCCAACTTAATAACAGTAACTGAAGATGGGGGAACAACAAAATATTTCACTGGTCTATAACTAATTGTGCAGGTTCTGATAGGACTGTTTATTAAAGAAACATTTAAGAATAAGTAAAAGGTAATATTAGATAAGCATGATTTAACATTCCTTCCCACCTTTCTTTTAGCCTTTTGACATTGTCCATGAGGGTTTCTTGGCAAGGATACTGGAGTGGGTTGCCATTTCCTTCTCCAGTGGGCCTTAGGAAGCATTACTAACAACAAAGCTAGCAGATGACAGTATTCCAGCTGAGGTATTTAAAATACTAAAAGATGATGCTATTAAAGTGCTGCACTTAATATGCCAACAAGTTTGGAAAACACAACAGTGGCCACAGGATTGGAAAAGGTCAGTTTACATTCTAATTCCAAAGAAGGGCAGTGGCAAAGAATGCTCAAACTATCGCACAATTGCGCTCATTTCACAAGCTAGCAAGGTTATGCTCAGAATTCTACAGGCTAGGCTTCAGCAGTACATGAACTGAGAACTACCGGATGTACAAACTGGGTTTCGAAGAGGCAGAGGAACTAGAGATCAAACTGGCAACATTCGCTGGATCATGGAGAAAGCACGAGAGTTCCAGATAAACATCTACTTCTGCTTCATTGACTATGCAAAAGCCTTCGATTGTGTGGATCACAACAAA